CATATTTAAATACTTTATATTTACATCGATGGGGTCCTCTGGAGGCTGTCATGTTTTTTTACATTAGTCCAGACTGGACAAAATAAACACCATTTGAGTTTTTATGAGAACTGAAGGTCCCACAGGTTCTATTTCAAGTTTGGAAGGAGAGAGTGAGGTGAGGGGTGTTCAGCTGCAACATGAAATTTCACCACAAGATATCACAAAATTCTACACACTGTACCTTTAAGGTTAACTTACTTTTTCTTTCTACCGCCTTCATCTGCATGATATACTCTACCACTTTGGCTACAGGGTGTTCTGTCATTATCAGGATTTCAAACTCCATCTGCGGAGGAAGGCAGTACAGCTAAAAGCTCAAGAGAAAGTCTCACATGTCCAGTGCCTTAGGTTAGGATTTGTATTTAAATGTTGCAACAATCTTTATCTCACAGCACCTTTATACTTTGTTGTCAATTTGTTCCTGTTTCAATAATTTGTCCAAATAATCTGTCAGTACTAAAAAGTTCTTCCAACGAAGTTTCCAAAGACAAAAACTGCATTTCACTCTTAGAGAAAATGGGTTTTTCATGAGTTCTGTTGTTCAATATTCACACCTTGACACTCCCATACGCTTTGGTATTCTTGTATCTCACGTCTCCTCGAGTGGAATACGCTACCAACAGAAATTACATTTTGCACAGACTTTGCATTGACTTCCATTAATTGTGGAAAGCCCAACCAAAATTTCATCCCTACACTTAACCATGACCAATTCATGCCTAACCCTAACCTAATCACAATTCACATCGTAACCATAACCTCAACCAGGACCTCTGAAATGATGTGCTGCCTCATTAGGACTGAACTTTGGTCCCGATGAGGATTTCTAGTCCTGACAAGGTCCTGACACACACACACACACACACACACACACACACACACACACACACACACAGGCAATTATTATTAATCACTAAATGTAGCTCATTTTTTCAATAGTGGATTAACTCCTAACATGTATCACATGCTGCTCGAGTCCTTGCATCATTCCAGCAGGTCAGCAGCTGATCTAAATTTCGACCGATAGATTCGTCACTTAATAATTATCCCTTTAACCCACTGAGGAATAGAGGCAGACATCATTATCACGAACCCATGTCTGGAAAGTTGCTCCTCCAAGAGAGTTGTTGGATGTGTTGAGAGATTTATCTGACCCACGAGTTCCTCTGTGACGTATCAGAAATCTGCAGAGGGAATTGCTGATGAATTTGGCCACTGGGGACAGAAACCATCTCGGGCTTGGTGAAGGGACGGACGGAGGGTGGGGGTGGGGGGGGGACTGACTACCTGGCTGGGACTGACTTCACTGATAAATTTCACAGGCTCTCCCAGAGCCACAGAGCTGTCAGCACAGAGTGATGGGCCAAGCCAGGACGTGACGCGCTGATCTAATTGGAGGATAGCTCAAAGACAGTAGAGGAGATTCCAGTCTGTAGCTGCTCTTTCCTCCTCTGGGGTTTTTGTCTGGTTATATTTAGAAGGTACAGCACTAGCAGTGAAATTTCTTTTGTCAAAAAAATGTCTGTCTTGATTCTGTGATAAAAGATGAAAGCATTGACCCAATAGTAAATAATGTGGCAAAAATAAAGTCCTAAAAATAAATGTGATTAAAGGCAGATTGAAATCGACCATGAATACTACCAACACAAATGCATCCACTGCACAGGGGAAGTAGTCGATGCACCCGCAACACCACATGGCCATCAGGCTCCAATACACTCACAAACATTTATAAAACTCCAGTTTTGATGTGTTCTGTCAATTACTGCATGGTCCTCCAAAAATCAATATCTCATTTCTCAGCTCAGTGGCAGACTTGGAAGAGGCCTCGGTCAAACAGCTAATACTCTCTGGCAATAAGATAGATTTTCCCAGACAAACAAAAGGAAACAGTAAGACCTCAGGTGTTTATACAGCTTTGTGGTTTTAATTTTTTTATATTTACCTTCATAAATTGAATGAAGCTCTTATTTAGGATAATTCACAGCGAGTGCTAAACCTTCACAGGATACATGTCCACTGATGATGGACTGCTGCAGAGATTAGACCGGTGGTATCATGGTCACAAGTTAGTCCATTTAACAGCCGCTCCTTCAAATATCTGCCATGGCTGTCTCGTCTGTGCAGTGTATTCCCTCAAACCTCTGGTTCACACTCTTTTGGGTTTCAGCTTAAATAGTTGACTAGCCTATGTCTGTAAGATGTGATGTCAAAGTTACTTTCTCTTCTATTCTCAGATCATTTCCTCACAAATCACTGCTGGGCTAACAGCAGCATGCTAACATGCTCACAACGACAATGCTAATCTGCTTAAATGTTTAGCAGGTATCATACACTGTATATAAAGATGGAGGACATGACTGCTTCCCAAAAGTGAAGTCAAAGTGTTTTGATCGCCACCTGGTGGCTGGCTGCAGTATAGGTTAAACACCTGCCTCCTCTATGTTACGGGATTGGACATGGACCAAGTAAACATCAAATTAAAGACAAAAATAAACATCATGATTGACGGCAGAGACTGACTCACAATTGGTCGAGCACATGTATCTGCTGTACCTTGCTACTGCGCTCCATCCCTTGAGCAATAGTCAAATACTTACTTAAATGTTCAAGATGGTGGCATTGGTATCAGGGATATTTTGGCTTCATTTTTGGATAATGAGTAGAAGAAGAGATGCTTCATCTATCTTTACATATATATATTTCACTCTGGACCAAACTAAAATATGCACCGTAGACCATAACTATCATTTTCAGCAGCAGAACCTGTTTTTTCTTCTTTCTTATCTTGCAATGATCTTGTAATCCCTCAGATTTATCTGACGTCCCCTCGGAGGGTTCCTATCACAAGCCTGGGAACCATTACCTTACAGCAATTCTGTGCGTGATAGGTCTTCCTCAGACTTTTTCAATCCAATCTCTAGCTCATTTACATGTATACCTGTTCTGTAAACAAATCCCGCAGGGGAACAAGACAAATAACAAATTCAAATAGTTTCTCACTGGCATAAATCACACAGTAGATAGGCTATGAGCAGGACTCATACTAATCTGAGCCAAGTGTCATGTGTATGAAAGCTACATATTCAAGTGTCCTTGTGAAATCGTATCATTATTTCTCATATCGCCCATATTAATTGAGTCAGCAGCTGCAAGAAACTTGACCTTAGCGGTTGCCTGGCAACAATTTCATAAGCATGTAGAAAAATGTAATAAAAAGAGGGAACTTTTCTCACTGGGAATTACATGACGAGATCAACAATTATGTATAGTATTTAACAAATGTATTAAATTTATTGGTAACACAAGGTTCAACAGACATTCAGTACACTGAGCAAACACTGAAAGGAGATTTCTGCTTGAAAAACACAAACACACAGGAACTAAAGAAAGTGTCAACACAATAAAAAGAAGGAGCAACAAAGACTCACTGTTAACCGAGACACATTACATGACATTTATATTAGACTCTCTTCAAGTCCTAAGAGGTTCTGCCCTTTGGTTTAACACTAATATCTAATGTCCTCATAGAGTTGTAATGTATGAAAGGATAATTACAGAACCAAGAGCTAGAAAACAATTATGCTAAATAAAATGACCTCTTCACAGAATGGCCTTTGTCAAAAACAATGTAGTAAACACTTCACAAGCCTGCAGTGCACAAACACACACACATGCACACACACACAAACACACACAATTTACACTATTAAGTATTTTTTGCATACACTAATAGACGCCTATGCCCCCACGATGCACACACGGGCCCATTATGTATAGAGTGTGAAGAGTGCCCCTGAAATAATTATATAGAGTTTAACAGTGCTTCAGTGTAATTCATTAAATAATTAAGTGTACAATTTGAAGACATATTTATCTCTTAACCAAAAAACATCAGTTATTACAGCTCATCATTATACGTATTCCAGCTTGGAAGTATTTATAAATAATGTCAACCACTTCAATTTAAAGACGTGTCTCATTAATTAAAGATATTTAAGCTGTTTCTCATCTAAAAATGAAATCCAACCAAATCCCAAGAGCAGCAACAGGAGCTCTGATGGGCTCCAATAAATAGCAGTAGGCCAATCAGAGCTAGATTAGGGGGCACACATTTAAAATTATGATGTTGTCTTTAGAAATTGATTGATCATTAATTGAAAACTGTTAAAGTTACAGCAGCAAAATTAATT